GGAGAGGGGAGACTGACGGCCCATTAACATGAACACAGCCCAAAGAGAAGAAAACCCTGGTTAGTCGCAACAGCGGCACATCCCATGGGGTGAGCAGAAATAAATGTCCTTGTGTGCTCATGGGGAAAAAAACAACCAAGGCGAGGGGGCTGTGGGGCCTGCTGGAGCCCAGCGCCACCCCGACCCGCGCCCGGGGAGCCCAGGGACTCGCCTTCCCAGCCAGGGCAGGAGAAACGCAACGGAGTTCACGCCAGCTGGAACGGGACTGGTCCACGAGGCTGCTGCTTAGCTGAAACCCTACCTCAGCATCATGAATTTGTTACTGCAAAGCAAAGCTCTTTTCCAGAAAAGCCAGGCCCAGCCTAGCCCAGCACTTTGGAACAGGGGCCGGAGATGCTCTGAAGGACAGGCAGGCTCAGCTGCCCTCACCATTCACTCCTCTCCTCACCTCCAGGAGCCTTGTGTGGCGCTGAGAGAGCCCGTGTCCCTTCTGGTCAACCTGCTGCCCAAGAATTTGCCAAACCCCTTTCAGAACACCCTCCCTGCCTCCACCCCATCCTGTGGGAACCAGCTCCACAGTCCACCACGAGCCTGTAGGTGAGATCCGGTAAACCACAGTTCTGGGCTCACCCATCACCTTCCCTCCAGCCTCTCCAGCTGCTTGTCAGCCCTCCTCAGGCTCCCCTCATTAAGCATTTCCTCATTAAGCATTTCCTCTGCATCCTCCATTGTTTCTTTAGCCTTTCCCTGCATCTTCTGTCCCATCCTCTCGCTCAGAGCCCCCACAGAGCAAAGCACCATCATCGCTCTGAGACCCTTCTGCTCTCGCACGCTTTCTGCCGCAGAGACAGGACGCGTGCCCTCCCTCCCAGCCATGCCCAGCACACCCACAGCTGCAGGGTCAGCCCCATCCCAAATCCCAAAGCACAGCCAGCCCCGCAGCTGAATCACATCTCTGTCACAGGGAAGCCACAGAATAATTTCAAAGACGCGCTGCAGGGACAGGCAGCAGCCCCGCTTCCCCCAGAGCACAGCGCCGCACCCCAGGAGCCCACGGGCACAGGCAGCTCCCCGAACACGCTGGTTTCCCAAACGAGCACCCAAGAGCAATGGCCTGACCCCGTGCTGCCGCACCCCTCCGCAGCGCCAGCGAGACCCCAGCATGGGGAGCACAGGTCCCCACCGCCCAGCCCCACGCAACACCAACGCTGATGGGGAGGCGGCTGAGGACATTGCCAGTGCCGTCCCACGCGAGGACAAAGGCTCCACAGCAGCGGGAAGGTGACAGACACCGCACACAAAGCGATGCCGCAGCCGGTGCAGCTCAGCGCTAACACCAGCGTTCGGCAGCAAGCCTTTCTTCCCCACCCCAAATCAAACGTTTTAACAACATCAAGATGATCTCACGCACAGATGCTGCTGTTCCTCTCTCCCCCCAGCCTCAGGCTGACTCTCGGGAAGGGACAGCAGCGATTCAAAGACCCTCTCCTGCCATTTCATGGCCCCCGCACTGCGAGCTGCTGGCGTTCGGAGCGGAGCACAGCCTGCCACTAGGAGAGCGTTGAAACAAAAAACCAAACCCGACGAGGGGAGCGAGGCAAACAAAGGACTTCCCACAGCATCACTTTAATCTTTGTTTTATCCCCTATTTTTATCAGACTTACTACGTGCTTTTTTCTTCCAGGGAAAAAGACCTCCCCGGAGCACCGGTGAGTGCATCTGGCCATTGCCGTGCGGCAGAGCTCGCACAACCTGGGCATGAGCCTGACGCGGGAGGGAGAGGAGCCATAGACAGCAGCCCCACAGGAACACAGAAGTGCTCAGGACTGTCTCATCAGCCCGATTTTCTGCTGTTACTATCAACAGGACATCAACAACTTCAGTCATGGTTCAGCTGTCTCCTTTCTCTTTCTCTCCTTCAGAATGCATTGACAATTCGTGTTCCCTCCGTAAGTTTTAAGCAACAACTCACCTGAACAGCGTCAGTTCCCAGAACTCCTCCAGTCTGTCCCTTGTCACTTGTTTTACCAGCTGATCTAACCAGGCAGGATCTGAACACACCTGCATCCTTCTGAACAGCAGGCATGAGCTGGGATCACACTGGAGGGAAAATACACTCAGCTACTGAAAGATTTTGTTTTTTAATTTGAGCGCAAAGCTCTCATTTCACTGAAGGATTTACAGCAGGATACATCCGTGCTTACAGCTAGCCAGCAACACCCATCTACAACTAAAGTGAAAATCATTTTAGTGCATCACACACACACAGACACGGCTTTTTTTGAACTGGGCTGTGAACTAACCAACGCTTACCTGCAGGGTGTGATACTTGAAGTTTCTGGAACATGGGACAAAGATGCTTCCTTGAGATCTGAAGACACCAAAACTTGCAGTTCCCAGTGTTGCTGCTTTTGTTGTGCTTCACCTAACACCCAGACCTGCGCAGAGCTGGACACACATGGACAAGGGCAAGGCAGGGAAGCAAACATCTGCAGCAACCCGACAGAACAGGCAGCAGCTCGAGCGACCTGCACTGCAGCACACAGGGCTGACGGCGCGGAGCTGCGCCCATGACGCCAGCATGGGAAGGCACAGGGGACAGCTTGCTCTTGTAGACGTTTCTCAGAAGTAAACTCTTGGCTTTAGCACACTAAGACACCAAACTGTTCCAACACCCCAGCACACAGCCAAGCATTAGTTTATCTGTATCAGTGCAAAAACCAAACCAGCAGGGTCACTGACAGCGTCAGAATTATGCTTTTCCTCAAATAAAAGAAAAAAGTCTGCTGCAAGAGAAGCAGTTATCTCGGCATTATTCTCTTACTGGCTCCCTGCAGCTACCTTTCTCCATTTTGTTAAGAAAAAAAGTGCTACTGAATTTAATTACACTGTAACATCTACAGCAAAAAAAAAAAATCTCAAAACTGCAGTTTAATTTCAGAAAATGTGTTAAAATATATATATTCATACATCAATTTGACACACTGTGTTAGTTTACACAAGTTATGGTCTCTCTTGAAACTGCATTTATGAAATGTACATTTTTAATTTAAATACTCAGTATACACTGCACTTAATCTGCATGTTGCATTTATTAAATACATTAAAATCTGCAATGTAACAAAACGTTTTCTGCATACGAAATTCAAAACACCATTTTAAATGAACAAAAGATGGCTCACTTCATTTATTTTTTTTTTAAACAACTAGTGCATAGCACACTAGCTCAGCTCCACCAACACCAGCTGTTCTTTCTTTTTTATTTAACATTGTTCACAGACTATTACATATTACAATAAGAGTGCTGGATAAAAACATGAGGTACGAAAGTGGTTCAAAGATTATAGGTCATGCAGATCATGCTAGACAGCAAAGAAAGTTGTGAATGAGAGAACACTAAATAAAAATACATAAAGAATGTGCATTATAAAATAAAAAAAAAAACCAACCCTCAATTACACAGCTTTGCTTCTTTGGTTACAAAGTAGGTTGAACAATTTCACAGCTTTTTATTCCCACCCCAAAAAAATTATACGAAATGTCCAAAAGCAGAGGAATCATGGCAATTTCTCTCTATTAGAAAGTAGAAACAGAAATGAGCAAAGTTTTCTTCATCAAAATAGCCCATCGATTATTTATTATATCACAATAACTGGTGACTACCTGTACAGATGCACTATGGTCTTCATACTTACACTCTATACAAAATTTACATTCAAGCTGGATCTTTACTACCGTAAATAAATACCAAAGGTAAATTGCCATTAGTGTTAGAAATATGCCAGGATTCTTTTGTTCAATTATTGCCTAAACATTTTATCTATTAAACGCAATCCCACCTATCATTTTACTGATACATACATTTATTAAAAAAAATTAAAAAAGTTCTGTGACATTGTTCATGTACATTATGAAAATAGCAGCCCTGTAATAAATAAAACAAATAAATGAAACTAATGTAGGCAAATGTTACTTATATTGAAAGAACAGTGGCTCTGAAGATGGATTGTTACTTCTTACCAGATAGCAAGGCTCAAAGTAATCCATGGGAAAGAGAAACTTTGGGGAGCCACCAAAGCTCTTCAAGACCTCACTCCTGCACACCAAGCAAATGCGTTCTTTGTGTTAAGAACTCCTTCCACACCTCCCTCATGCACTGCTAACGGACACCACCCGCACTCGTGACACACCGGGGAGGGACAGCTCTCAGAGTGATTGTCTAATACTGAAAAGGCCAAACACACAACAGAAGCATGGCTACGTGCTCTCATATAAAGTGGAAAGAACATCAGTGGCACACAAGGACAGACTGCTCTCGGGTTTTTGTTTTCCAAGGAGGCGAGGAAGCGTCACGCTGAGGAGACATTCGGCTGCTGTGGAGGTTGCACTGGCTGCGGAGGCTGTGCTATCGCTGTCTGCGCCTGCGAAGTGCTACTGGGATTGGCCTGTTGGGTTGAGAGTTGGGATAACTGATCGTTGTTGGAAAGAGATTTTAACAGTGCGTTTTCTCGTTCAAGTAAAGAGTTTCTTTCAACTAATTCTTTTATTTGTTCCTTCAGGACTTCCACTTCTTCTCTCACTGCATACATCAAATGGCTTTTCACGAGATCCTGCCAAGAACAAGTTTTAACAGTTACACCAAGCGCAAGAACAGTTTTGTTCCACTCCGACCCCAGAACTTACTGTTTGACTGCTTTCTCTGCAGTAAGCGGTAAGCCCGGAAAACTAAAGCACTCATCACTAAAAATGTGGGTAAATCAGCCTCCAAGAGCAAATAACCCCGCTCTTTAATTCACTGCAAAGGGGCCCTTACATCAAAAGCTTTGTTTCCAGCATCCACCATTAAGTTCTACTGGTTACGCTGAAGACACGGACTAGAACTATGGTCCAGCTACTCATAGTGAAACCGTCAGCTCTAAGGCTTTGACCGGAGGCAGGAGTCTGTGTTACGCAATCCCAGGCACTGGGGTGCACGAGAACTGAGAAATAAGAAAGCCTCTAAATCAGCAGAGGCAAACAGATGTAACTGAAGCTGAACAAAATGTCAAGGATGGCATAAAAGACAATGCTGAAGTAAGATTTAATGTGCTTTTTTTTTCTGCATCCCTTTAAGTTCAGATTGTTCACTGAAATTTGTAGGAAAATTCATTCAGGAACACTTCTGGGCCAAAAGTAAAGGCAACCCTGCTTTGTGGCCATCCTATAGCTGATACAGAAAAGCCCTTTTTCAAATGATGGTCTCAGTCCGACCACACTGAAGAGATCATGGAATATTACGGACTCACAGGAACACAATACAGCTGGACACTCGTGCTCAGTGACGAACCACTGACCCCATTACAAATAACTTATTTTTTACTTACCATTGCCTGTTCTATTTTGTTGTCAATGGCAACAACACTTGCACCAGATGCACTGTAAATACAAGGAGAAAACTTTGTGAGCATTACTGTATCATTCAGTTCTAACTACGCAGCCACTGGCAGCCGCAGGACTCCTAGAACATGCTTTCACTGGAAGGCTAAAGCTCCCGATTGAAGAATTCATCATAAAATCATGGGGGTTGCCCCCACCCCTATTGCCCCGTACAGTTAAGAGCTCTTCAGAAACACTGCTCCTTCAGTTTATAATTCCTCAGACTATGCTCATGACACCCATAACCAGAAAAATGCATTTGAATAAACAGCAAATTAACTGCTTTGATTCCTTGCCTCATTTTTCAGCTTTCTTCACTGGGGAAAACAGGGATTCACGGGACATTAACGAGGTCCTTACCTCTAGTTTTATTTCTGCTAAATTGCTTTTATAAAGCATTGACGAAAAAAACAGTTATGATATTTGTTCTCAGGGTTTACTTGAAGACTACTTTCCAGTTAAGAAGCCCCTAGATCAGCACCATATTCACAGCTGTGAGGTGGAGTGGCAGCAGTCAATAGCGCAGTCAGACCAGACCAAAGCCTCAACCCCACGAGCGCACTCCCTCGGTTTCAGTGAATTCTCACTGGGTCACGCTTCACACCTAAGAAATGCGCTGCCCTCGGGTGGCTGCAGGAAGGGTTACAAAGACACACTAGTGCAGAGCAGCCCAACAAACCCCTCGGTCACCACTGTAAGGACGTGTGTTCGCTGTGTGAAACAAGATGCTGAACTGCATCTTTAAATCCTGGGCTGCAGCAATCCAAGCCTTAATGTTCTTGGTCTGTTTTCAAGCCACAATGCAGGAGCTGGCTGGTAACTCTCTGCAGTGTGTGTGTGTGATGCCCCTGTCCTCTCGTAGCCTCTGGTCTCTCTGTTTGCAGAGGGGCTGTGCCCCCCAGGAGGTGGGACAGGACACCCCACGCTGTCGCCTGCAGCAGAGGAACCCCCCAGCAGGCACAGAGCACTCCACCGTCCCGCACTCCCACCCCAGGTCTGGGTGGTGGGATTTCACCCCACAGCTCCGTGTCTGACACCCGGCGGCAGCTCTCGGCTGGTGGCCAGGCCCGCCGGTGATAGCTGCTGATAACGCTCCCCAGCGATGGCAGTCGCTATCAGCCCTGTGCAGCTACGTTTAAAAAAGCAAATGCACGGCAAAACCGCCAGCGTTGCAGTCATGCTTGGAAACTCACCTCTCTGAAAATACCTAACACTGAAACCAAGTGTTAAGAAAAAACTACTTATGGGTTTTTAAAACAACTTTTGGCAATATGTTCAGCAGTATTAGTTACACACATGAAACAAAGCTCAACTATGGAAACAATATGACCCTGGAGAGATCCACCGTACCAGGTCTCATGAGAACTGCCAGTACCTAGCACCAGGCATTCCCAACTGCAGGGACTCCGCTTTTCAGACCGAGGGGGTAACAGCCTCTGTTTCCAAACTGAACAAAGTTTGCAGTCTAAAACAAAAGTGCTAGAGACCCATTTCGCAACAAAATTGTTCCACTGTCTTACTGCCTTCTAAGTCTCTCTCAAGACATATTCATGGCAAACCTCCTCAGAATAAAAAGTATTTATAATTCATGACAAGGTTAAGTATTCCCTTCCATCCCGAATTCATGTGTTTCAGATCTATCTGAAACTGTCAAAACTGCCTGTGTTCAAGAGTCACTGAAAGCCCCAAGACTGCTCCATGTCCTGACAGCCTCTCGAGAACTGCTCCAGAAGGCAGGTGAGGCAGCTCTGGGGAGACAAAGACAAGAGGAGCGAAATTAAACAGCATGCTCTATAGTGGGATCTGCTTCTGCATCTCTGCAGCGTAATTACACACCTTCTGACAATACTTTCCCAGTTAAATTTGAGATTGGGACTTGGTTCTTCTATTCCTGTTTCAGCTATTTCCCAGTAAAGTCCACTACAGCCCTCACTCAAAGCTCAGGCACTCATTCCATCAGTTCCACGAAAAAGCCTCTCAAAGGGAAGAGACAAGCAGCCCTCCCCTTCATTGCCTGGAACACTTGCACCGGCGTGGCACGCTGCAGAAGCACCTTTCCTGTGCCATACTCCGTGCTCCAAATTCTCGTCTGCCTTTTAAACGAGCGCAGCGTTCACAATGTGGGTATAAGGACAGTCCTCCCCGTAAGCGTGATGCGAATGCAGCCAGAGAAACCACCGCTCCCATCCATATTTTACACTTAAGCGCTGAAAGCCATGAGTAGTTTATACACTCCTGTTATTCGTGTCAATATTCTCATTGCCCTCATCCCCAGAGCAGCTCCCGCTATTACCAAAGTACCGAGCCAGGATTCCAGGTCTGGTCCCTGCACAAACCCCGGCATCCATCCTGCTCGGCTCCAGCGGCAGAGTGCAGGACCCACAGACCACCGCCCACCCACCCAGCCCAGGAGGAGCTCCACACCGACAGAGCAGCCTGCAGTTTGTCAGATGCGGTTTTATCCTGATGACAATGTTTCATTTCACTTTCTAAAAGCACGTGAGAATTTGATTTTATGCTAGCACAATTGCCATGCCTCTGCCCTGCACGCAGTCTGCAGTGCTCCCCACACCAAGCAGCTCCCGAGACACTGGGAAGCAGAGCACTCCAGTGCCAGCTGTTCTTATGGCACCGTCCAAATATGCTGCCAAATCTTAAGATTTTGTATTTTTCTCAAATCCTTAATTGTTGGTATCAAATCCCAGTTTGCATTAAAATATTTTATCCCATGGCTGCAGAATGAAATTTATGGATGCAAGCCAGTCTTTATGAAAAGACCACGGGGAAAAAAGCCTGTTAAGTAAGTCTTTCTGGATGTCACAACTGGAAAGAGCTCGATGCATTCTGTGAGTGTACCATCCACTGTATGTCCAGTGCCTCAACCTGCAAATTCTTGAGTTAGAAGCAAAAAGACACCACTTAGCTCTTATTAAAAAAACCCAAACTATTACTACGCCATGCTTTTAGACAAAGATGACTGCTCCAGGAACTACAGAAGTCTGACAATTACTGTCAAAGCTGTAATACATAAACAAAGATCCACATCAAGCGATGTAGGGTAGTTGAAAGGGATGCATTAGGCTTTTTTTTTTTTTTTTTTTTGTAACTGCAAACTTACCTCCCCCCCAGAGCCACCTGGCTACCATACATACACACTGTAAGCTAAGAGCAGACCTCCATTTGACTTGAACCTCCAAGTTAAGGTTAAGTAAATGAAGACTCTAACCAAAAAGAGGTTATATTGGTATACCGAGATCACTCTGAAGCCCATCAAGTACCAGGCAAGATTTACAGTCATCAAAACTGACAAAGATTACCTAGCAGTTTGCCACTTCCAGAGATGGATGGGGGAAAGCTAGATTTGGACTGCTAATAACACTGCCTAGCTACAGCTCCCAACCAGGGTATGCAGCGTTTGGAACAACATGTTTTATCAAATACTTACAGCTTGCACCTCTGAATTCTTTATGTTGTATTTCAGGTATATTTCTCTTATATGCCTACAACTCAAGAACAGCACTGTAATTTTTCTTGTCTCAAATGAATTGCAAAGTGAGAGAACTATCTTGGACAGTCACGTATACACAGATGAAGAAAACAGGAAGAGAGCTGGTGAGTGAGGCAGGTCTGATTTCTAACACCTGTTACACAATATACAGCAATCACACGCATCCCATTCCTAAAAGCCTCCATAGAATTCTGACTCCATTGCTGCAAAAACTTTTCCTATGGAGACACGGTATCCCTAGAGTATGCTAAGATGATATTGGAAAGATGTTTCAGTGTCAATATTCTCGTTGCCCTCATCCCCAGAGGCAGTAGCCCTGTTAGCAAACTTCACTGAAAATACAGATCTTGTATAACGACCAAACAAGTGTTCTTTGTCAAACATAATTTAGCAGTTCAAGAAAGCTTACTTACTACGGACTATTCCAAAACTTGAACAACACGGTTCACAGAATGGGAAAGCAAATAAAATAAATGACTAATGGAAAAATTGAGGATGAGTGGGTCATAAGACAGCAAAAAAGGTTAACATCTTGATGTTAACTTGTTAATGGTGGGAGGAAAATTTAACCTTCACCTCACATTCACAGGGACCAAGATCTATCTCAATGGCAAATTCAACCAGCACCACTGTACCAGCACCACTGTACTCAGCCTGGTGTTTTTACCATTAACGTCCTCAGATACAACTGTCATCCTTCTAGGAGACAGGTTCTCCAAAATTAACTTTGAAATCTAGGTAGAAAGACTAGGAATCAAACTCCAAAATAAAGGCATTTGCAGCTCAGTTCCCTCAGTATGCTTAAAAAAATAATGCAGTGGTTCATTTTTAGAGATCCCACTCTCCTCAGTACTGTGTGTATTTTCTGCCAACAGTAGGAACGAGAGTTATAAACAGCCTATTTCAGCACTGCCAAGCGCTAGGCTAGGTATCAGCGTTTCACATCGACATGAGACTGCAAATCCTCCCGACTGGAGGATGCACACTAATTTTGAAGCTTCAGGTTTTTTAGTCAGTAACGAAAAACCTATTCTGGATTCAGCTGTGTTACTGATGATCTGCACACCTTCCCAAAGAACCCCCCAGCAGACTGCCACAATGCCTGACTTTTCCTGCTTTTTGTTGTTGTGGCAAAGTCTGCCTGCAGAACAGGCTCCAGGAGGCTACACCAATGCTAGCAGAGTCTTGTCCAAGAGCCTCTATCAGCCAAGGCTTCCGCTAAACACCAGATCGACCCCGCTTTAGGTTGAAGAGGAAAAGCTGTTACCCACAGCAGTCTCAGACCGACGTGTCTGAACCAAGCCATCTCCTCCAGCTCTTCTGTTGGTACTGCTTTAACCCAAACTGTCCAGCAACCTCTCTGGAAGGCACAGTAAGGCACCTTGGAGCGTTCCCACGTTTGTTTTGCTCTCAAGGGAACTACAAACTGAGACAGTAAGTGTGCGAATTTATTAACTGTCTGGATCAGTGTGTTACGTGAAATGTCAGCCCCATCCTAAGACTCTCTTTAAATTTCATATGGAGTTTTAGACTTCTAATTTCAGATCAGAAAATTTCAGCCCTAAGAGAACGTCCAGACAAGGCTACAACCAGAAAGGGGGAGATGTGTAACCCTTGACTTTCTCCTGTCTCCAGGAGGAACACCTCCTTTAACAGAAAGGCACAGAACAGGGAAAGGGAAGTTCAGCAAAATCCCTCACAGGAAGAGATGCTGTCTAATTCATCACATTTACAGAAGAAGAAAGATGTTTTCAGCAACACACTGAATACTTTTATCTGGGTGCTAATCTGGAGAGGGGTTACTTTACATTGTGAAGGTTCAATGCTTCACACAAATGCAATGGAAATATAAATCCTACTGCTTCAAATTCAGGTTTACCAACAACGGCTGTTTTAGGCAAACCCATCTAAAGCTCCTACGGCACTGTCACCATACAAAGGCAACCCTGGCACAGGAGAGCCATCATCCCCATCATGCGAATATCCCCAGAGCCATTATTCCCCTTAATCCCTGCAGTAACCACGCCAGATTAAAAGAAAGACCCTCGAGACTTATGCCCTTAGCAACCCCTCTGTGAACACTACGCAGGGAGAATACTCGCAGGCACTCTACAAGTGTGTCGGTCATAACCAGTATTTCACTAATACGTAAGGGTGTGAAGGCTACCAGCACTCTTCCCTGCTGCGGTGTGTTAGTGAAAAACAAACAAGTCTCCATTTTACTGGAGCAACTTAGCAATATTCTACCGTCTATTGCAACAGCATGTGGTTAGCTGTGCTGACTTCCAATGGTCCCAAGAGATGGCTGCTCACAGAAGAATAATCTGTACTTGTTAGAAAAAAACGACTGAAATTACACAGGAAGATTTTCTATTACATTTACACTAAAGTCTCCTAACTCAAGCCCCTGAAGTTCACAGACTAATTGTGAAGGAGCTGCAAAATGTAATTAAAGAGCCTCCTGCCAGCAGGCTTTAAGATCCTGATGTTTTGCAGTGTGTTAACCCCCACATTTTGGGATGGGGAAACAAAGGGATTTTGAGGAAATTAGAGAAGCTTATCATTGTCACAGCAGAGATCTCTCTTTCACAAACTGGAGATCACAAAAAAAGCCCCATATCACTGTACTCGTTATCAAACTACAAGTCCAACAGCAGATCCCCACCTGCATCAGCAGCCATCCTGCCCATGCAGAGTGGAGAGACCGGGCGCCGTCGGTGTCCTGTCCTGCTGCTGCTGGGACGTGTGTCCCTGGCAGAGCCGCACGGCGGAGCTCCACCGTACCCCTGCCCAGGGAAGGGCTCCCCAGAGCTGGCTTTACTGGCTATGCCCTTGAAGCTCCCTCCATTAGGTTTTCATTGGAAGTTTACTGTTGAAACTTCCCGGTTTCAATCATCTAGTAACGGAAAACTATGTCTTAACTACGATCTTAAGAAAATCTAATAAGTAGGTTAAAAATGCAAAACCTCCTAAACCCTGTCAAAGACTTTGGAATTTGAACAATTATAATTTTAAAAATTGCATCAATCCTGATGAATTTGTTTCTATGTTTTTGCAAATACCTGCTTTTACCACCAAGTGTTCAACAGCAAAGATGCAAGACTATTTTTAAAGGAAACCATTTACATTCTTCTACCTGAATTTAATGGTTTTCTATATCCCATGCTTCCAGCCCTTGCTTCAAACACTGCGCATAAAACTCAGATTTGTGAAGCCTCAATCTTAATAATTATTTGATTTTAGATTTTTTTGAATCAGCTTCCTCATCTTACGAGATATTTTAAGTTAAGAGACATGAAAATAGACAAACAGACGAAGGCTGGACCTTCAAGTGAGCATTTAGTCTAACCACCAGATTTGTATTCAAGGCCCTGAAGTTTATTTGAGTCAAATAATTAAGCTCCTTGGAACATAAATACCAACTCTGTCCCATGAATACAGGAAAGTGGCATCAAATTTGTACAAGTTTCTGCTAGGAAAGGAAGATGTGCTTTTGAAACACAGCCCAATGCTAGCGCTTCAGCAAAACCAGAGCAGGATGCATTAGCGTTGCTTTTAACCAGTGCTGTGCCATATACAAACTGTGGCCAAGCAAACTTCAAAGGATTCAGTCAAGCTTTGCAGGTTGAAAAGCCTCTCAAACACAGCCAGTACAGTGATTAAATAGTTATCAATACTTCAACAGCTTCTACAGAGCTTGCTAAGCAGAAGTATTGTGACAAGCCAGAGCATCACAAGGCATGAGGTGACATAATCACTAGAACTTCAACTTAATGCTGACAAAAAACCCCTTTGAGATCATTAAAGTGTGTGAAAGGAACGGTCTGCAGCTCCTGATGAATTAGTAACACACCTCTGACAAGGCATGTCCCTCACAGAAATGCCTTCACTGCAGCTTCTCGCCATGAGTTCAGTGCTAACTCAGTAGGTTTACTTCATCCAAGGATCTTGTCATGGTTCACGTTTGTTCTCCATCTAGCTTTACTTCAGCAGAAAGAAAGCAAGCCAGAAAGATTCCTTTCCTGGTTTTGTGACTGCAAGATTTTAACTTTGCCAAAATTGTGTCTAAATATGACATTTTCACAACTTGTTTTCTGATATAGGACTCAACAGCCACAATACCAAAAGTTTCCTCTTTTTTGGAAAAGGAAGCTGTAAATATTTCAGTGCAGGCCAGCTAGTAGCTGACTAGCATTAAACTCTCTCAGCTCACACATTATGTATGCACATGCACAACAGCAGGAGGAAGAAAATTGTCATGTCATATATATTTTAGACTTATTTAGCTTTAAGTTTCAGAACGAATACTTCACTTCCATGACTGCTTTCAGACCTTCATGCTGCAGAAGCCCAGTATGAAGTTCTATACACAAGCAGCAGTTCTGTGCAAATAAAAATGACGAGAAACTTGCATAGAGCCAAGCTGTTCATGCATACCTCAGCACGTATGCATTCCATACTTAAGCATTCATACCTATCCCAGAAGGTCTTTGACTCGCGTAACTTGTTGAAATGGAACGCTTGGTAGAATGCAGTTGACGGATTCCTATGAGATCCAAGAATCAAACAGAAATATTGAAAATGGGTAGGCAATAGAAATACTCTCTTATTCAATCTGCATTACAAAGTAAATTAGCAGTCCAGACAGGTTAAATTTTTGTCCAAAAGTTTACAGACTTCACAGAATGCCTACAGAACAGTTTCACGATTGAAAGGTCTTACTGTTTCTATGGATTTCCATTAAGGAGACACTGATTCAAAAAGAAAAATAATCTTTGAGCCCTATGGATTTTCACACTATATCAAGTTGCTACTGTAAAAACAGGACCATAAAGCCATTAATGAAACATCTCATGTCACGCTGACCCTCTTGCGTAGGTAAGCTGTATACCACTCTAATGCTAGGCATACCTCAATTCAAAAGACACCTTTCGCATGTTTCATATTTCACAAAATGTCTCTGCAAACAGAACCCTCTATTTCTGTTCTACTTAGCACCCCACTTGATATTCAAAACACACGGGTTCTCCAAGGGGACCTAGAAGTCAGAGCTAAATATGCCACATTCAAGCTATGACAGATGAAGTTACAGCTGAACACCAGATCAAGCTAAGATTGAAAAGTGGAATCTGAAATATCGTTAACTTTTCAAGGGGCTGTCAGTCATCCTCGTGCTTCCCCTTCTTGACACGCAATAAACAGGGTGACCGCTGTTCAGAGGCGCTTTGCCAAGCAGTAAACCGGAGTGCTCCAGGTACCGCTCCGGGTCCCACAAGCCTTCGGCACAGGCTCCAGTGACCCCGCTGAAAGCCAGACGCCACAGCACAAATTCTGTCCCCAGTGCCAATCCCCGAGACAGCCTGACCCTCCTCATCCAGCACGTGTCTGCCCTACAGACAGCAACCACACCAGGAGAGTCACTTGAAAATCTTAATTCTCCAAAGTCGCATCTGAACGCTTACTGCTTACAAGATGCTGGATGAAGCACAAAGTCAAAATTCTCTACTGCTAGGGGCTGTATCAGAGCTTTATACTTGAGCTCCTGCGATCCCTCCGGCAGAGTTCACCCCGATGCTGGTATAGCTGTACCAGCCCTAGAGAAGAATGCAACAGCTCAGCTGAAAAATCTTCTGAAAAGCTAGCATTAGTGCAAATTCCTCTTAAAGCCAGTTTTAAAATTAAAAGTTTATATCAATGTTAGAAGCACATGTGCCCATCCCTTCTCTAAGTTTAAGGCAAGAATATTTCTTAAAGCAACTGTCTTGAAGTTATTTATTTCCATTTAAGTACAATTACAGTATATTTGAAATCATAGGAAAAAAACAGCAGAAAACACTATCTGAAGTAATTTGATTCCAAATTTTTTTTTATTTTGCAGGTGTATACCAAAAACCTCATGAGGAAAATTATATTTGTGCATCAGCAATGATCAGGAATCACTTGTTTGAAGTGTCTGTCATTCCTTCTCCCACCTTCACCACTCTGCCCTTCAAAAAAAAAAAAATTCCATGCGAGTCTGGAACTTAGCTTAAAACCTGCTACAGAGGTTCCTTGATCAGGCTGGTGAATATCATGCCCTTATGTCAGTACTACTTATGTATTCCTAAGAAGTGTTGCACACTTGAGTGACAACTAAATACCACTAATTATAGGAAGAGCAACACAATAGCTAAAGGATATTGGAGTGACACAGGGAGCTAACATATGGAGAGCAATTGGCATCCAGAGATCAGGAGCACTTTCCTTTGTGGAAGGGAAGGAGGACGCCCAAGCCCTTCTAACTCAGTTGGCTGTGGGGAGTACGTACAAAGTCCATTCCTCAGAAAGGGACTGTAAATAGAAAGTCATTTAACCTTAAAGATAAATTTACTTGCAGCATATAAAACCCTGTTGCTATTGTTAGGTATAAAAAGTTGTGGCTTATAACCACACGGCGTGTATGTCACACAGTCTATTTTTACACTGATACCCTGTGCGCTATATATATAGCTCATACTATTCTCAAGCAAGTATCTGGACAGGTATGAAAGTTTCCTCGTTAAACTCTCATTTGTACCCCCTGCTGTTGACATTGCTTTTGCGTTACTGCAGACAATTAAGAGAACATCTTTTGCTCTGTAGCTGTATTCTAGCAGGATGTTAACTGGAGTTGGGAGAGGGGGCTGTTGGTGGGTGCTGCTCAAACAGGAACAGCAGATCCACAGGGGTAACATGAATGATGCCTAACATGGAGTCTGAACTAATACGGTTGAGTTTCAGACTGGTGAGGCATCTGTTTTTAACCATATCAAACAGCAAAAGGTGAGAGAATTACTGGAAACTCCTTTCAGCTTGAAGAAACAATTGGGAGGATGGCTGACGGCAGCAGTATCACCCAGCCTGCTGCTGCGGCATCACAGCTGAACACCAAAGTCTGTCTGACGCTGCTTTAACTGGACCAGAAAAGCAGACTCCCCAGGTCCCCTCCCCGGCAGACAGCTGGGTCCAAGCCTCAGTCCCAGCTGTTGGCAGACTGACATGGTGGAGCCCAGAGCCAGCCAGAAACGGGGCGTCACTGCCACTGAACCCAAGAACGAGAGCCCACCTCCTCTTCCCCAGGCACTTCTCTTCCTGCGTCTCTGGGGAGACAGGTATTCCCAAAGACAGAGGCTTGATTCCAGTCCCAGAGACCATGACAGACACCTAGCTTAGCACATTTAAACATTCAGAATATACCTCAATTGGTAAAAAATGCCCCTATAAAGAAGCCCTACAACACATACCATATTTATTTCCTTTAAAAGGTTCACCCACATCAACATTCACAACACACTCTGATGTTACGGTTTCTAAGAGTTTTCCTGCAACAGAAGTTTGACTTAAATTTAAAGGATGAGAATTTATTCAGTTCTCTGAATACCTGAAACTTCACGTTGTCTGTTTAAAAGGGAAGTCTCAACCACATCCCAAGTCTCACCTCATATTCGAAAGAGCATCCTCCCCCTGCCACTCATCGGGACAAGCATACGCCAAATACAGACTCCATCCTAGAGAGCTCTGCTTTGCCAGAAACCATGCCCATGAAGGCTGTCAAATTCTCAAATTCACAGATATATGTTGTTTAGCTTAAACAATGGTACCGGCTGTGGAAGTGATGGGGAGCAGCTGGGCACACAGAGGCTGCTGAGCAGATGTCTTTTTTCCAGCTGCTACCTCTGGAGGAACAGTAACATCCCTGCTGATGACATAGCTGAAGCTATGTTTCAATCTTCAAACTACTCACCAACAGCAACAATAAAGGGCAACAAAAGGAGGAAAATGTGAAGAATACCACACTTTTTTTTTCCCCCCTCAAGGTGGCAAAATTAGGGAAAAAAAAAACCCAAAAATCACACTAGACCACTTCAGACAGTTTTCCCTTTCCACATCAATTACTATTACTTTCATTAACTTTGATTTTTGATCCACAAGATTAAAAAGGCCTAAGCACCCATCTTTGAGGAACATGAAAATACCAGCTCTGACAATCCATGCTCAATACCTCAGAGGAAAACCAAAACAACGCAGAACCACCTATTTATTATTACCTAGACAGCAGCAAGCCAACATGGACTGCCTTTTCAGAGGCTTACAGCAGACAAAAACATCTGAGAAAAAAATAACAGGCCTCATATAGAAAGAACACAGAAGATGTGATCAAGTTATAAAATTAATAGAGCTTCTAATGCCATCTTGCATAGCATTTCGTAAGTGAGAATGTGGCTTGTTCAAAGCGGGTCCACCACTGACAACTACTCTGTACACATGGCTCTCCAAGGGTTCAGTGGAAGGATGCGTCAGAGCTCTCCAGGGGTCTCCTCCGCGGGGGATCTAGGATACTTTAATCCATGACTTGGACAGTGGAGCACAGACTATCTTTACATTTGCAGATGATCTGCAAGCACTCTGGACAGC